ACTGACATAAATGAACATTTGCACGATATTCTAATTTTTCGAGTTTCACCTGTATACCTATAAAGGCCAGATACAATGACTCCAACACCCTAAATCAGTACCAATTTAGCATCGATTTTACAGAAGTTCTCCCTTGCATTTTTAGCATAATCAAAGATTAAAGTAACTGCATCCTCATCAGCATATTCAACTATTTAGGATAGCTAGGGGGCCAGTTTAGCATACTGTAACAGTTAAGTTATCGGACTGGAAACCCGGGTTCTAGGCCCGCCTTAGGCATGAAGCCAGCTGGGTGATGTTGAGATGGTCACTCTCTCTCAGCCCTAGGAGGCAGGCAATGGCAAACCACTTCCAAAATCTTGCCAAGAAAGCTGCAGGGACTTGTCTAGGCAGTCGCCAGGAGTCAACACTGACTTGAAGGCACAAAAAAAGTCAACAAAAAAGTGGGGAGGGGGTGAATAGCTAAAGATGCAAGCCAACATTGCTTTATCTGGGATTAAGATCCATTGACTTAGTGGAGTTGCTTTTCATTGTACTGTAAGGCTTGTGTATTTTTCCTGTATTTGGTACAGATAGGATATATGATAAGTCTGGCCTGCCTAGAAAATTTGTTAGCACCCTTCTCTCCTCTATTTTGCCTTCTTTGCATGAATCATTGTATTTTTAACACATGCTCTGAGGTTAATGCAAAATATTGGGCATATTTGCAGAACACACTAAGTTAGCTGTAAAGCTAGCGTGACATTAGGACACTAGGACTGAGAGAATGACTGGCCCAAGGACACCCAGCTGGCTTTGTACCTAAGGTTCTGAAATTAAGTTTCCCTTCATGTCAAAGCCTACAAAATAAGCTGCTTTATCTACACTTTCTTCCTCCTCCCCCATCCCAATTTTATTTTCCTTCAAGTCAGTTTCTGACTCCTGGCAACTGCCTGGACCAGTCCCTGCAATTTTCTTGGCAGGGTTTTTCAGAAGCAGTTTGCCACTGCCTACTTCCTAGGACTGAGACAGTGAGTGGCCCAAGGTCAGCCAGCTGGCTTTGTACCTAAGGTGGGACTAGAACTCATGTTCTTCCAGTCTGATGCTTAACCACTACATCAAACTGGGTCTCTATATTTTAAATTACTTTACTTTATTCCAATTACTTTGAAAGGGATTTAAAAAAAAAAAAAAGCAATGTCAGCCAGACCACAATGGTGTCTAATTATTGACCAGAATAGTTACTGCCAAACAAGGGTACAACTCAGTTTTCTGGTTATCTTAGATATAGGTTACCGTGTTACTCTTAGGTAATGTAGTACTAGTTTAGTTGAGTTGTGCAACTGAACAGTTAAGGAAGACAAACACGAAAGCGCTCTAATCTGGATTTCAGAAGAGCATGTGTGTAACTCAGGCTACAGTCCAAAGTACGCTTATTTTTTAAAAAATTCCCTATTGTATATAGTGTATACTGTAGATCAGGTTTGTTTGTGCTATTGAGTTTAATGTGTAAAAGGTATGGGTTATGTCAGTTTCTGTAACCAAAACAAGCCGATCTGCTTCTATCTGACTTTAACACCTGTCTGATTGTCCTGATCTTGTTTAGATGTCATCAAAGAGAAAGGGCTAGAACATGTTACTGTTGATGATTTGGTGGCAGAAATTACTCCAAAAGGCAGAGGTAATAAGGTTCTATTGCTTTGGTACTCGAGCATAAAGTATACACTGAATTCTTGGGATAAATTCTTTCCAGGCACTGACCAGACTTATTTGTATAGCTTCAAGAAAGTGGCTGATTCATGTGCCCTCCAACAATGCCCTGAGATTTACATTCGCGCTTTATTTCAGTGTTTATGCTGTCCCATCAAAAAGAATGACTGCATTATCAGGGCCTTTTTTCCCCCGTGATCTATACATTGAAATATTTTCACATGCTGATTTGCTATGAAAATACCTTACTCTTTTGAATGTGAGCAGCCACTGAAGGTAATGACAGAAACTAAGAATAAAACTTTAAATAATTTCTATGGGACCAGTACAGCCCTAGTTGGAGGGATATTTATTGTAAGTAACAGTTGAACTTGCTGAGATCTTCAGAAATCTTCAGCCTGTTTTAATAGCTTCCAAATGACAAGCCCATCATCTCTTATTGTTAGGAAGTTTTCAGTAACAGCCAGAATGTGCCTTCCAATAGCATAAGGCAATTATTCTTTTCTGCACGCTGAAATATGGTGCCAAGAACTGGACGCTAGGATATGCAGCCAAGTTGAAAATAACAGAGTGAATCCAAGCAGTTGGGAGCACCCTTTGACACCTCCTTAAATCACATCTTTCTTTGGGACTGTGCGCAAACCTGTCACACGTGTGGGACATGTGCGCACAATTGGTCTGATAACTATGCTTCTTTTCAGGCACTCTGAATTTGCTTTTCGAGCAATCACATCATACTGCTGACTCACCTTTTGATCAGTTCCTAGACCTTTTTCACATGCACTGTTCCCAAGTAGGGCATCCCACATCCTATACTTGTGCCTTTCATTTTTTCACAAAAACATCTATGTAGTTATCTTGGCACGATTCAGATGTTGCCATTGCTTTCTTCCTGTAAGAATGTTGAATCCCATTCAAGTCTTACCCAGAGTCTATTGTGTTTAGTTTCCTGGATTGCCAACATTGGCCAGATGGTGCCACACGGTAAACACACATGCACACACACTCATACACAGAGAGAGGCAGAGAGGGTGTTATAATAATGTATCTGAAATCTGTTGCAGTGTGACAATGGTTTCATGTTGCTCTTCTTTTTTTTCCCCTTACTTTTCAGCCTTGGTACCTGATAGTGTAAAGAAAGAACTTTTACAAAGAATAAGAACATTTCTGGCTCAACATGCCAGTCTCTGATCCTTCCGCTTGAATCTTACCATGCTGTGTTCAGTGAATCACGTGAAAAACTGGACGAACATTTTTCATGCTTCAGGGTTAAAGTTCACTATTTTTTTTAAACATTTAGTTTATTTACTGCAAGTATACTTCAATATACTGACTTCTTAATCTTGATGTTTTAATAAAAACAAAACCCCAACAACCTGTGCTTAAATGTTGAAAGCAAAGACTTTTTGCCATTAAAACAGTATTGTGTGACTTAATGGGACTGACATGTTTGAACAGTAAATCACTTCTCTGCCATCCTGCTAAACGAGTCCCAGCACAAAGGATAAGAAAGAATAAACACTAAGTATTTGATATCAGTTGCAAAACAGCACAGCAGCAGAGCCCGCAGCAAGCTGCCATAGCTCCAGGTGATGGCACATGACCAGTGACATCACACAAATACAGCCATTACATGCTTGCAGGGTGACTTCTGATGGAAATCACAGCATTTGTGTGACAACATCTTACAGAGTTTGTCATTTGACCCCTTTCCCTCCACCCCATGGATGCCCATGAAAGGAATTATTCCTCTGGAATATTGGAACAGACAGGGTAGTGGAGTATAGATTCTGCCTACTTTTAGCCTATTACAGGTCATAATGAGTAAATAACATGAGTTCTTAAAAAAAAAAAAGAGGAAAGTAATGTGGTATTGCCATGGCAAAGAAAGCCAGATTCTGTAATCTGCAATGCAATTTGGGCCATGTATATCTAATATTCCTGCTGCTACAAGATTGTCCAAATGGAGACTGCTCTCAGAAATTGTCATTTCTCTGGTGATGGTTAACTGACATCAAGGCCTAAAAAACAAGATTTAAAAAAAAACCCACCGCAGATTCTGAATACTCTATATTTTTCATACCTCACTTACCTGACAGAATCCTGAATAAAACACTATTTGCAATCCTACTTAGTAGTATAAGGGTTTGATTTTAATAATGAAGTAGCATCATTTTGAAGGTTTCTTTAAACTCAAATGGACATTGCTAACTAAATATAGTAGGATTGCATTTCATGCATAGTATGACTATTACTTGTGAGTAAGTCAGAACCAGGCTATGTGGTATAATATGTAGTGGACGTATCATTTTTCCCAGCAACTAAAACTACCTTGAGAATAGATGATTCTTGAGATAGGAGAGAGTGTGTTTCTGTGCATTACAAAGCTACCATTTTCTACATTGCAGAAATCCAGACAAGTAGTAGGTGACAGCAGATTGCCTCTCTCTGCTGCCATCTAGTGATCACCCAGATGTTTGCAACTCAAATATGGTAGATCTAATATTTGGCATAGATCAAATGGAGATAACCTTTTATGAATGGAAGTTTAGTTTGAATATTATTAAGCAAACATGGATGTCAGGTCTCAATTCTATAAAACATGAATTAAATGCTTCACAGAAATTATATTCTATTTAAAATGTATTCCTCAATACTTTCAATTTCTATTTTTTAAAATGAGACAATCAGGATGAGAGAGAAAATATATTATTGGAACAGAAAGATGGGCCTCAATTAAACAGTAACAATACTCTGAAATTAATGTTTTGTTATGAGCAATTTACTCTTTATATTAATATTTATTTTTAGAAACATATTGTATTGTTTTAGAGGTTTATTTGGAGAAACTCCCATGTTTTTCATTTGGGAAGCATCACTTGTCAGCAAAAGGGGGTTAATTTTCCAGGTTCGTATTTATGCCATAAAATATATATTATTTCTTGGTTAATGAATGACACATTTTGCTTACTAGAAATTTGATGTAGCACCCTTTTGAGAATCCAAACACCTTGCCAACTATCTTTCCTTTTTTTAAAATGCTTTTGAACATACTGTTAAAAAAAAGGGCCAATCCCCAGCCCACTATATTTTAACTTTTTTGGACACTTTATATGCATGTATTATAAATATATATTTGATGGTAAAAAAGTTGAGTTTTATTTTGGGAGGGTCAAGTGTAGGCAAAGATGGATAATGTGCTGAATGTTATTACTAGAGAGGAAGGCAATGATAAGAGACAATCACAAAGATAAGGACATTTCAGTGAAAGAAAGATCAACTGATAATCTATAACTGAAAGCTGGACATTGCAAAGGAAAAAAAAGATGCCTTAGAGATTTGGAGATGGTTACAGGTAGTCCTCAGCAACTGCCTTATTTAGCTACCCTTTGTACTTACAACAGTGATGAAAAAGTAACTTTGTGACCGGCCTGCACATTTACAACCTTTGCAGGTCTGTAAAGCCAAGGAAAGCTGAAGTAAGATCATAAGCAGTCATGGTTTTACTTAGCAACTGCTTCACTTAACAACCAAGCTGCCAGTCCCTATTGGCGCTAAGCAAGGAATACACGTACTAGCATTACAGTAGGCTGCAAGAACCAACCAATCAATGCTGGCTGATGACAGCTGACCTTCAGCTTAGGAAGGAGAAACTCAAACCATTTGTGGATATGTAATGCAAGCACAAGGTGGACCAAAAGAATCGCTTATGCTTGGCAAGATCAATAGTAGCACAAGGAGAAAATAATGGATAAAAGCTTGGTGTTTGGCACAAACCATGACATGAGAACAGCAGAACATGCCTCACAGATAAACGCTCGTCTTTCATACTGGCATCTTAACAATGGATAGTGCCACACAGGTCATCGCTGGAACTCCGTTCCACCCTACAAAAAAAATGTGGATAAAGTGGGAGAACTGATGAAGTAACTACAATGGCTTTAGCTGAAATTACTAAGAATAAATCAAAGCAACAGGCATTTCCCCGTTGGCTGGGGAATCCTGGGAGATCTTAAAATTGAGAAACGCTGGTTTAGATTATAGATTTTTTTTTTATCCCGTCTTTATTATTTTTATAAATCACTCAAGGCGGCGAAGATACCTAACGCTCCTCCTTTCCCCCACAGCAACCACCCTGTGAGGTGAATTGGGCTGACAGGGACGAGCTCAAAGTCACCCAGCCGGCTTTCACGCCTAAGGCGGGAACAGATCATGCCGCCTCGCCCTACCGTTTCCTACTCTTCCAGATAAAAACATCACGCATAGCTTGTAATCGGCTAGCGCGCTTTTCCTTTCGGAGTACGCGCGCCATATCTAAAAACAAAATATCCAGCACGGAAAACAACTCGCGGGCGCGCTCAGCGCAACGGCCTCGCTACCGCTTCGCCGCCGATCCGCGGGGTCACGTGGCCAAGCGGCCCTGCCTCGTAGACTCCCTCTGCCTCCTCTCCTTTCATCTTCCCCTCCCGACGGCGCAGGGCTTCCACTTTGTGCGCTTGCGCAGGAGCTTCCATCCTTCCGGTTCTTTCCCCACCCCTTTTCTTGATGACGAGTCCCGTTGGCCCAAAGTGTTGGGGCGGAGCCGGAAGAGACGATTGCTGGCGCAGGGGGTCTCCAGGGTGACGGTAAGGTGGAGCCGGTAGTGGCCCGTGAGGGAGGCTATGGAGGCGCCAAGAGGCACGGCTGGGACGGAGGCCGCCGCACCCGCTTTTGAATGAAGGGAGCTCGCGGTCGCCGAGGGAAGCGGCTGGCCCTCGGCTTTAGCCGCGCCGCCCTCCCGGCCGGTCGCCGCCCCCCTGCACAACGGGGGCGGGGGGGGGGGGGCGGTCAAACGCCAGGGAAGCCGCCTCCCCT